GCGTATCCTCTTTTCGCGTGTTCAACCTGTTTCAGGAAATCTAATTTGAAAAATCGACGATGAAATTGGTACAAATGGAGCATGCCACTTGTTTCTGGTTTTATTCTTCGATTTTTCGAATTTAGCATCGCGGTCGCGGTCGCGGATAGGTCGCGAGTAGGTCCCGATACGAACGTTTATATAGGTATTGCTCGAGCACAGACATACGAACGGATAACGATCACTGTGATCGATGGTCGTCCGTGTGTATTGGAATCAGCTTTCGCGGTTTATCTATTAAAGGTTTATCTAGAAAGATAACTCGAGCTAGATGTAAGTTTCAGCGGGCATTGCGCTCGAAGAAAGAAGAGGCCCGGCAAACTGCCACGAAGAGGGTCACAACAAATGATTTCTCATCCTCTGGATCATTTAAATGATTACAGAGCATGGGAGGTTATTCTCGTTACTACTTTGTCACTATGCTCTTTTAGTATTTGTAGTTGTATTTTTTTTTTTCTTCTCTAGCATCGTTTATCATCGTTTTGGGCAAATCGTGGTTTTCTTTTAGTGTTGCGAGAGATCGATTACGGATTGAATTAGAGTTGCGAAATAATTTCGCTCCTGTTTTTTAGTGTTGCGAGAAATTGATTACGGTTTAAATTAGAATTACGAAGAAATGATAATCGTGTTTGCTTCAGTGTTGCGAATTATGATATCGCGATTGTCTTTTGCAACTTTAATTGTTAATTTTTATGGTTGACGTAGTAAATATACGTATTAAAATTTATCTTGCTCCCTATTCTTTTGAGTTAGATTATAGAGTCATTGCTATTAATTAATTTTGAATATTTGAAGTAGCTTTTTGTTCATATAGTAGCTTTTGTGTTGTTATATGTAATAATTTTCATTGAATTTTTAGAGGTAGTGTTGCGATATTGTTCCATCGCGATTAGTTTTCCTCTTAGTGTTGCGATAATGAATTGTCGCGTTTCTGGAAGTAGCGTTGCGTTTAGAAAATGCCCAAATTCTTCCATTGAATTCGTGGAAGGCTGTTTCTGCTCCTGGATCATCTGATGCAGCTACGAGAGCTGTTAATATCATCAGCAACTTTCAGCATGGTTGCACTAGACGCGTCGCAATTAGTGTTGCGTATTTCTAAATATGAGTGCATAGATTAATAGCGCTGCGTATTTACTTTCGGGAGTTTTAAATATGCACTCTTCGCGTTTGATTTTTCCCAAAATTTGCTGTTTCACAATTAATGCTAGTGAATTAGTGTTGCGAAACGAAATACGGTTTGTTGTTCGGATTTATGTTAAATGTAACAATACGAATTTTATTGAGTAGAAAATGTTCTTTTGGTAACTTTTGGCTTCAACAAATGGCTTCTCATCCTCTGGATCATTTAAATGATTTCAGAGCATGGGAAGTCATTCTTGTTACTACTCTGTTACGATGTTTTTTCTTCTCCATTATCGTTCATCTTCGTTTTGGGCAATCGCGACTTTTCTTGTTAATGTTGTGAGAGATCGATTAGGGATTGAGTTAGAGTTGTGAAATAGTTGCGCGCTTGTTTATTAGTGTCCACTGGTCACGGAGGTCGAAGTCACCAGAGAATTAGGAATAAACGAATTGGAAAGACTAGCAAGAAAGAATTAGGAAAAATGACAGTGGGAATAGCATTAGAGAAAGAAAAATGTAATTATGGAAATGATTTTAAATGAAGAATACGAACACGTGGAGAACGTTTCATAATTCACTGTCAGATGTGAGAGAAAAAAATAATACAGATACAGATATAGAGAAGAACGAGCGAATAGTGAAGAATATAGAATACAGCATAAAAAAAGATTAAGTAAGTGTAGAAGAAATTTAGTCGCTAGCAAATGGCCCGTTCTTCGAGTATATTAATTTTTCTGTTTGTCATATTTTGTGTAAACTTTCAGTTTTCTTTTAAATTGAACTCTAACAATAAGATTATATACATACATATATTTTAATATGTTCTGTAGCTGAAAAGAAGTGATTATTTTTGAGTACAAAATATTATGTAGAAATTTAGTAATTAACAAATAAATATTAAAAATATTGGAGGGATTTATTTAATTCAAAATTGTATAGCGCAGCGTATTGATGAATGATATGAAGAAACTCTCTTTATCCCTCTACAAATATTCTTATTGAACGTACATGATATTAGAAGTTTAGAAAAAATTTAAAAAAAAAAAAACTGAAAATTTCTGCAAAGAATGATAAACAGAAAAGTTAATGTACTGTAAAAAAAAATCAATCAAAGATATAATAAATCGAGAAAATGAGGAAATAAATTGACATTGATCTTGCAATTAGAATCACAACAGATTCCAGATAGGAGATAATAGACAAAATCAGGCAAGATATATAGATACTCAGATATATAGAAATTTTTTTATTAAAAATTTGAGATATTACATAATTATATCTGTATGATTTCAAATGGTATATTAATATAGAAAATATATATTGTTATAGATAGTTCTCTAAAATTTTCATTAAGAAGTTATTCAATTAAAGAGAAAATTTTATGCAAACCACTGGTAGAACAAGCATTAAATTTTTTATAGCAATTATTGAGCATTTGAACAGAATTATAAAGGGCATGAATACATTAATGGTGATTCACCATTATTGACAGTCGAAATAATAGATGCAATCCACGTCATATGATTGGAAACTCGAGTATATAGAGAATATGAATAACTGTTACAGATCTTCTTCCCTCCTAATGTTTCTTTACCAAGCATAACACTAACAATGCCTTTTAAGTACCATAATCCATTGCTCTTAAAGACCAATCCACTACCACTGTCACCCTCACAAACTGCTGATCCTATAATTTATATATTTTTAATACAATTTTAACACAAAATAAGCAAAGTACTTATTTAATTTTTAAGTGAGAAGTTTTAATATCTTCTTTTTTACTAACCATTTGTATATCCTGCACAGAACATATCCGCTGTAAGAATCTGTTCTATATTATTATTAGTATTTAAAGATTTACACTGATCAAAAGAAACATATGGCACTTCAAGTTTTCGTAAAATGGGACTAAGTGACCCATAAATAGTTTTTCCAAATCCTGTGACTTGTCCATAGAATCCATCATGTAATGAAATTCTGTCACTGTAATCTAAACATATAGGTGATAATACACTTGAAAATACAAATCGTTGTTTAATTTCTAGTATAGCTATGTTGTCAGCAAAATTTCCCATATATCCATTATACTGGCAAATATAGTATATGTGTTTCACCTGAAATACATATTAAGGGCATATCAAAATGATAGATATTAAATATAATAAATATTAAATAATAAATAAGCACCTCTACTTTTTTCACAAATCTTAAATCGTGAAAAGGAGAATCGTAATCTCTAAATATATTGCCTGCGAGTATGTACAATTTTGAAACATCTCGTAGTTTGTCAAACTCAAAAACACAATGTGCTGCTGTAATTAGAAGTTTTTCATGAATAATAGTTGCACCACAAAGAAATTCTTTTGGCGCAGTAGAATTCATTGCTAGGTAAAGTGTAGCATGCCATGGAGATACAAAAATATCAATTTCTGTTCCATTTACAATAATTGGTATATGTTTTGATGATTGAGCACATGCTAAAATATATATTTATTTTATGTAATTAAATGAACAAATAATAATTATTATATATATTAATAATTATTATGTTAGGAAATAATAACTGAAATATTACAATCTTATGTTATAAAATCTTTAGCTTCAGATTTTAATTTCAGTTATATACAGAATAATCAAAAAAGATTTATAATATAAATCTTTTAAAATAATATAAAGTACTTTTACTAATATTTGTATACACAGATTTATAATATAATTTCATTGAATATGTACAAATTAATATATACAACTTATCTCATATGGATATTGAGATATAAAATTGTTTTATTTCATACTTTTAGCATTTAGATTTTTCAAAAATCTGTAATTTTTCTAGTTTTTTTTCTAAATCAAATTTAATATTAATATCCTTATTTTTTCTTTTTTTTTTATATAAAGAATAATTTTATCATCAAAAACTGTCATAAGCTTGATTTTACTTATAATAAATCAGTTTGTAATGAAAAAATAATTAATATAAACATTTATCATTGAACCTGGAATACACTGTATTGGCTGGGGAAACCAATCACCATTCTTATTACACTTAGTTCGAATTGATCCAATATCTTTCTCTCTGTGATAACCATCAAGACATCTTAATATTGCTTCTGTTCCAGGAACGAGATTCGAACATGGTACATATTTACCATTCTGCATACATACAACACTTGTAGACTCTGACTCTAATTCTTTACAATATATTTCTATAATACATAAACATACAAAATAATATCAGATTACATACAAAATAATATATGTTTACAATTTTTTCTTTCATACCTTTACATTGTGGAATATTTATCCAGTGACCTTGTATATTACAAAATGTTGAAGCATTGTTACTTAACTTATAACCAGGATTACACACGTATATTAATTCTTGTCCCGGCATGAACAATATATTTTGTGGAACCTCACAATCATCACATATTTCATCTTGTCCATTACAACAATATGATTTGTGTAATTTCCAATAACCATTTTGTGGTTTTGGTGGTGGAAAACAAAATTTAAAATTTGGTAAGATAGGAATATGTAGGGGTCTTGAACTTGTTGAAGTAATAGATGTACTTGTTGTACTAGATGTAGTATCTATGCATAATCCAGAATCTTCATCCGAGCCATCTGCGCAGTTTGTAACTCCATTGCACTTTAAATTACTATCAATACAGGCACCATAATTGCAACGGAAGGAGAATTTCGAGCAGCTATAATATAATATAAAATAGGAGCACACAATTAATTGATAATTTAGTTTCTATTATCACTATGAAAACAAAGCTATAAGTTACAATTACAATAATATTACAAGATGACTGAAATGTAATTGTAATATAATACTTAAAACTTGCAACTTACGTGATTGAACCACACTGAATAAATGTTTCATCCGAATTATCTGTACAGTCTAGTATACCATTGCATCGACCACGTTTTGCAATACATTGTCCATTATCGCACTGAAATTGATTTGTTTCGCATTCAGATTTCACGTGACCCAGTAAAATACCTGTACATTTAAATATTATTTCATCACTCCACATATGCACATGTCAAAACAGCATAAGAATATATTTTGTTATAATTACTATCTATTACTTATAATTTATGATTAGGATAGTATATAGAAACTCTTCAGGGTCAAAATAAGAAGAAGTTTACTCACTGAATACAATTGTTAAAATAGTTATTATCGTATTTTTCATAATAATGAAGGAAATTCCTACAAAGCTTCTTTCCTGTGAAGATTCTCAATCCAATTGTGAATTAATCGAGAACCGGTTTCTAGAAAAAAGTATAATAAGGGATGGACAGGATTTCGGCCAAAGGAATGTTGAGCTGATCGGTTGTTTTGAGCAGATTCGATATAATCTTAAAATTGTATTTGGACACTAAATATTTAAACTATTATAATTGCGTAAAAGCAAATAGTATACTAGTTTCATTTTAAAGTTTGAAGTCTCTACTGTCAAAATGCATTTTATTGTAAGATGTTTTTACACCACCAGTAGAAAAGTAAAGACTTAAAATTTAAAACGTTTATAATTACACGCTTTTTATGAAAAAGCCTATATATATTATATTCTTTGTTTTTTTTTTTTTTTAAATATACATTTAATACTATCTTGCATAATTGAAACATTGCACAGTAATATCTTTGTTATAGATAGTTGTAAAAGTTTCATCAGCACGTAAAAAAAGATTTTATCATACAGACTATTGGTAGATATTAAACTTTCGAATATTTAAATACAATTATGAAAGATACAAATATATTAATGATAATTGATTATTGATGACTGAAACAATATATATATAATATTAAAAATTATGATCTTCTACAATATTTAAAATCATTATATTTTGGATTCCAATTTATAATTTTAGAAATCAATGATTTTTCTCTAACAGTTTAACAAATCTTTTAATCATATAAATTGTAGTCAATTTGTCCATACTATTTGTAATATAATTCATAATTGTATTACATAATGGTGCAATTAGTAATTGTATCACAAATAAGAGGAGAATCTCACTATCCTCATCCCATCGCTTTTCTTCTGTCCAAAAAATCAAGCATGTACTTATTCTTCTTAAAAAAAGATTCCTTCTGATATACATTTACAAAATGTTTAATATTTCACTAAAATATTTTTTTGAAAATGACCGATAATCGCGAATGAATTTTGATTTATGCACAGCAAATTCGAACATTTATAAAATTACTTTACTATAGAAAAATCAAATATTACGAATAAGAAACTTTTAATAGAAAGAACTGAACGCCTACTGACTAATATCTTATCTGTCCATATTTATAAATCGTTAAAACAACTTAAAGCAATTCTTAAATAACAGGAAAACCATGATCAATCAATTAAAAATAGCATATAAAACCACGATTCACAATCAAGAAATTCTTAATCGACTAATCAAGCCGCTTAAAGTCATAGTTCCCTTAAAATTAATAACATAAAAATTTAAAAAGCAACGGGAGCGAAGGACTATAAGAATTAGTTGCTGTGATACTTAATATATCAAGATCTATCTATTTTTATACCAAGCTACGTTTCTTTTCTATATATATATAAATTTTACAGTATGTAAGAATAAGTTGTATAGAATGTTAGAATATGTAGCACAAGCATAGGCCTAAATCTATTTTTATTAAAAAAAAAAAAAAAAGTAATAGATATTTATTTGTGAAAAAAAATCAATTTAAAAAACTGAATTGTGAACTTTTATAATTGCATTTTTTAAATTAGATCCTTAGCTTTCTTTTCATATCCATTTTGTAAAGTAAAGTGCGCAAGTATTTTTAAAATTAATTATGATCACTAACTTACCGATAGATGGCGCCATTATATTCAAAACGAGACACAACACTAGTTGTGGAGAAACTAATGAAGAGGAATGATTTGCAAATGTTTCTATATCCGTCTTTAAAATTAATCTGCCTTCTTTCTATGTGCATTTTGTTCTAGAAATAATAAGTTCTACAAATAATATTTGAAATTTTTATTTAATAGAACAAAGGATATCCTCTGTTACACACTATTGCTTTCTATTTATGACACGATATATATTCCTCCTTGTCGCATATTATTGCGCTCCTTGTCTAACGATGTGTTCTAAGTCACTGTGATTTTTGAATGAGACTAAAAGAATAAACTGAAAAAATCCGGTAGACATCAGTTATATTGTCGTTATACGAAGAAAGCGATAACGTATAAGTATATATATATGCACGATAGGCACAGACGAGGTATACGATTCATATACATTTTCAATAGGTAAGGAGAGTAGTAATGTGATGAGAACGACAATGAATTTTAGTTCTATCTTTTTATCGCTACGCGGCGCTAGTACTTCGGTGTTCATAAACCGCGCCAATTTTCAGTTAAAAAAAAAAAAGAATAGAGTTTGTTTAGAGATAATTAATAAACGTTTACAGTTGTTTTTTTTTTCAATTAAACCTTTAGCTTTCTTACTACGTTCTATTTATCTTAGGAAATGTTCATATAAAGAATTAGAAATTCTTCTTCAACAGATGAGAAAATACTTGGTGGAATAATTATATTATTATATTATAGAATTATTTCTATGAAATTATTGAATAGAGCAACTTTCTTCAAGGAAATTCATTTTCATCCTAGTTTATTAAGTTACGAGGACGTACTTTGCCCGTGTATTAATCGGTTTATATACTTCTCTGCCCAAAATGTTGGATAGCACAGATAAGGTATATGAAATCAAGATAATTTTTATATTTCCTGCAGTATGTATATTGCAGTATATTGTGTCTGTGCTCTAATCTTTTTCAGATTGATATTTCAAAACTTGACGAAATTTTGTCCTTTCCAATTTGACTGAGATTTTTAGAATAGATTCATCGTATGTAATTTTTGAGACGAAAGATAGACGATTAGATGATAGTAGTTGAATGTATATAATTCTCGTCTGTGGTTTTACAGAATTGGAAATTATATTTTTATGATGCAGAGTACTATTGTATCTCTGTCGTGCAGTTATCATACGATCTCAACCGGGTGCTAGAAAATACTATCTAATGTATATCTGTGGTACATTAGTGGTACATTAGTGCAGATACGCGAAAGAAGTCTGAGTATTTATTTTCATCCATGTTAATACAACAAGAACAGATACTTTATCTGTACTTTTGCAATTTTGCTGATTTTATCGACTATTACGTTGAATATAATTCCTGGAATCACCACTGAACGTGGAAGGCGCCAGAAATCAACCGATCTTTCCAGCATAGACGAGGCATATATCTCAATAGACGTTTGAATTTATGCGATACAAAATTATATATTTTTAAATCTTTTTGATTCTAGTTGTATATTTTTAAATCTTTTTGATTCTAGTTGTATATTTTTAAATCTCTTTGATTCTAGTAAATTCTTTTTACAATGTATGTGTCGTGTATACGTGAAACATTTGCTACAATTCACGTTATTTATGGTGAATTTATTCTATGGTTGCGTCGTGTATATATGTGCAATACTTGTCACAATTCGTATTATATAAAGTTGTATAATAACGCGTTTCTTTTTAATTCTGTGGTGAATCGTCGTTACCCTGAATGTGTCGTGTGTGCAATGTTTGTTACAATTTATATTGAATAAAATTGTGTAATAGTACTTTTCTTTGTGATTCTATTATCGTTATAATTTATATATCGCGTATATGTGTAACAGTATCACTGCGAATTGTTTTAATGAGAAATAAAACGTTTTGAGTTTCATGTTACAATTTACAAATTTATATCATTTATTATCTGCAACCGTAAATCATCTTTTGTAGAGATAATACGTGGGTACTCTATTGATTACCTTATTGCACTGTTTAAAGTTTATAATTGTTTTATAGCACAATAAAGATGTAACATGATATTTTGTGATTATTTCATTGTACTTTGTGGAAATGTGAATTGAGAAAGAGGTGAATAGTTACAAATTAATTTGGTAGTTTTATATGGGAATGTATATGGTAGTAAATTGTATCTATACAATTACCATTCCGAATTTAAATGTCAAAACTTTCTGATAAATTAACTGAGAAAAAAATGTTTTTTAGAGATTTGTTCGTTTTGCTCTATTTCGAAGAAAATCGCGAAAGAAGAAACAAAAATCTTTTTTCATTTTTTTTATTTATCCTTATTGATATTGTCATTTATTTTATTATCTATATTACCATCTTATAATGTCATTTGTCATCATCTACGTAATCATCTATTTAATGAAGATACTGTTCAAAAAATTAGTTATTTGCAGTGGTGCAAGCATTGAACGTTTTCACCGTCACGATTGTAGTTAGATTGTTTCTTTTATCACTATTGTTCTGATGATGTTCATACACTGCAGCTACGATTTGGTCCTTCAGTTACTCTCTTGAGTTGATTGGAATCGAATAAATTTACTGAATATGTGAAAAAGTTTCTTTATTTTTTTTCTTTGTGCGATTTTCTCTAAAACGAATAAAGAATATAATTTTCGAACGTTTGTCATAGTTATAAAGTTTAAACATTTATCAACGATGCTTAAATTTTGCAAGTTCTTGACTAGTTAAAAATAAATGAACAGAAGATTATTCTAAAAATAAGTGTAAAAATAATTCGAAAGTCTTTCATAATGAGTCAAATTTTTTCATAATATCCTTTATTTTCGAGAAAATTTAATTTCAACTACACATCCATTAAGTCAATTCTCTAAGTATTTTCAAAGTTTATTTTCTTTAAAATGAAGTCTTTGAAAAATTTCATCATTTATTTTCACAGGCAGAATAATTTCTCATTGATTTATGACTCTCATCGATTTTCTTTAAAACAAAGACTTGGACGAAAAAATTTTATTCTTTCTTTTCGACTAATTTTTTATGTAGAATCTACCAGTTGAAAAAATATCGTATATATAATTGTAAACTTAAACAAGAGAGAGATACAATATATTTAAATGTGCATGATGTTTAGAATTTTGAATGGAGCAAAGAAAAAGAAGAATGAGTGAAGATCGATGGTAAAACGAAATGAAAAAGATATCTAATGTAAATACTATTTTTAATTTTCTTTGTTATTTTATTAAACATTATTTTATTATTATTTAAAAGAGACGTCTGATTCTATACATATATATATATATATATATATATATATATATAAAGAAATTAAATGCAAATTAAAATGTAAAGAATTATGCAATTTACGATTTTCGTCAAAATTTTGGACAATATCATTCGTTTCACCTATTAAAGAGCAAATAATAAATTATTATGTAGAGATTACGATAATTACAAGAGAGATCAATATTATAAAATATCCTTTTCTGTCAAAGTACAAAAATAATATTAGAACGAGATACAGTAGTGTCAGCGACATAAAAATATTCTACAATTTGAAAAAGATAATTTATCATATGATTTGTGGAATCTCGGTGAAAGAGACAATAGCGAGGAAGTTGCTTCATATTCGCATAATGTTACAAGAAACAGATTTCAATGAAACAAATTTATTGAAAGACAGATTGCAAATAAACACAATGTTAGCTTTTAGTTACTACTCGTCAACAATGACAACAATTTTCACGTTATTTCCTTTCAAAAACAAAAAGAAAAAAAAAAAAAGAAGCAGGGGAAAAAATCTCACGTCATCTTTTCAAACAAGCAGTCTTAATACCATCCGATGGATCACTCTGATCTCGATAAGAAACTTCCATCGAAAAGAGTGTTGGAATAGAACCTGGTCCTTTACTCCACTTACTATCCCCCCTTTGGTCAAATTGCATTTCGGGTTTGCGTAACGACTTGTCAGGGCAGGAAGCGGCGGCAGGCTATATCGCAGGAAGTCCGTTCGGTGTTACACGGTATATATACGGTCCAGAGACTGCGCAGCATCCCCACGAGCGACGAGCATCACACGAACGCCACGCAAACGGGACAGAGAGCGGGGACGATAGGGGAAGGATTTCGGTTTTTAATCCGTGGGTGTGGATACGTGGTGGGGACCTGCAGACTGGAACAAAGTAGGGAGGAATCTCGCGCGTTCGGGGGGTGAACGGTATATCGCGAAACCCGCGGATCGTCCTTCTCTGCCTCTCCGCCTCTTTACCCCTCGTCGTTTTTCGCCCCTCTTTCTCACGCTCCCACCACAATATCCCTCCCTACCAGACCATCATCCCTCCTATCGTCAGACGTTCCGGCATCCTGTCTCACACCCTCCGTCCTCCACGGCTGGCGGGGGTTGCTACTGGCCTCCTAGTGACTTTCGTGGGGTCGAGTAACACGTGCGTGAGGAAACATCACCGGTCTGCGACACCGGTGTCCTTCGATACGATACGATACGATACGATCCTCCAGATCGGCCGATCGCTGAATCGGTGTTCACGTGACATCGTCAATCGGTATATCTATGTGCCTCGTCGCGTGTGATCCTTTTTGTTGTTTGGTGACTTGTCTGGTGATCCCGATCGTCGAACAGTTGCCCGTCAGCTGACTGCCAAGAGGAACTCGCGTCCGCGATCTCGTGTCCAGTTTCGGTTCGATTCGGTTCGACATCGATTTGATCTCGAGTCTGCTTCGCGATGACGAGTTTCACTTCGATCGCTGGCATATGTTGGTCGGTCGAGTCGGTTCGTAGATCGTCGCTGAAGGGTCGATCGGCTGATCCTTTCTCGCAGAGGAACTATGGATAGGGCGTTGCGTGTCTGCGAACGAACCAAAAGTACATCGTTTCAAAGATATTCCATTCTATCCTGGAAGCTGACTGAAGAAATCATCGGTTTATTTTCGTCGTTGATTTCGTAGTCGGATTCGGCAGCCGAAAATTTATTTGCTCGGGCGACGGTGATTTGTATCGTAGATCGAATATCACGCAGGACAGTGCTTGACTTTTCGTTTTCGTTCGCGGAAGGAACGCAAGGTTCGTTGAATGATTAAAGTAAGCAAACGAAGAGTCTCGAGAGTTTCGACGTAGGAGAAGATTAATTATTTATATCGTATACATGTTTCTTCCCGTTGCCAGGACGAAACGGCACGTTTCTTAATTGACGTAATTAGCCATTCTCTCGAGTGACGTTACGTTTTCGTTCGCGAGAAGGAATGCCGGTTTTAATAAAGCCACGTCGCGTGATGACGATTGTTCGGTTAACGAGAAAAGCTCTGACCTTCTTGCACAATTCCAGCCGACCCGATTTGAAATCGCGTAATTCATTTATGAGAAGCGTCTAGAAATACGAACGTCCGCAGCTCGACTCGTCCTTACGGGGTGAAACAGAC